GTTTTATTTTCAGAGTCTGTAAGTCAAAAAAAAAAAAAAAAAAAAAAAAAAAAAAAAGGTAATTTAAACAGGTTTATATATCAGTTGTTTTTGGGAAGGAAGATGAAGAGAATTAGATAGAAATCTCTCCATCAGTACAGAACTTATTATTATGCAATAAAATATGTGCAGCCTCCTGCCATGTCCACAACAGTTAAAACAAAAAAAAAAAAAAAAATTCTTTCAATTGTCTCCATCTGTTTTAGTTGTTTTTGTTTAGTGGCATATCAACCTCTATGGGTTATTTAATGCTAAAATCTAAATATTTTGTACACAATTTTATCTTATTTGAGTATTTGTGCATAAGTGAATATAATGAATCCAACTGGAATTGGAACTTGTCTCTCCGATTAGCAATTCCAAGCCATTATTCATTACTCCACCTGCTCATCCAAGTTTACAGCATCAGGTATTCCCAAGCTCTCACTCATCTAGATATTGACAAGGCTCAATATTGCTTAACTCCAGTGATTGTTCCACCTCTTTATGCACTAATTTTTTTTTTTTTTTTTGAGATGAGGAATTGTTAATACACACTTTGATGTCTTTAAATTTTTGTCTGCAACCTCATTATCACCAATGTTATAGATGCCATGAAATTTAACGGCCCCTAAAAATGTACCAATGATGTGCTTCAGGACAGAAACATAATGGATATAAGAGTTGGTTTAACAAGTTTTGCTGTCACCTAGTGGTTGCGAGTTCAAATCCCTGGATCAGGTAGTGTGTAACAATATACACAAGTTCAGCAGGAACAAACAAGAATAGCAGCAGAGTGATAAAATAAAACACATATCCAATATAAACCAAGCAATGAAAACCTGATGATGACCAGAAGGTACCAAGCTGAAATGTTGCATTTGTAGTAATCAAAATAACAATAATAGTTTGAATAAATTAAAGTATATCTTCACATCTCTGTACCTGATAAGAATCATCAGTGAACAATCGTCTGTTAAATAACTGTCGCCAGAGAAATAATTTTTCTGGATTGAAAGTGGATGTAGGAGAAAGAGTTTAAGTACAAAATTTTATCTATTGCAATTGGCAACAGTAAATTTGGTGTAAGAATACAACACCTTACAGACTTTATTCAGGGTGTGTGTGTGTGTGTGTGTGTGTGTGTGTGTGTGAGAGAGAGAGAGAGAGTGTGAGTGAGAGAGATTGAGACTGTTTTCCCAGATGACAGAAATCAAGAAAGGGTTGTACCTTAGCAATGGTAGATGACTCACTTTGAGCAAACTTGTAAATCATTTTGCCTCCTTTTAGTCAAAAAAAAATTTTTTGAAAGCAACACTCACACACTGTTTTAGCATTAATTCATATAACGGTTATAAACAAACAGTTGGTCATTTGCATTTTATTATTTTTTAAATAAATTGGCAGGTCTTTTTGGTTTTACTGTTTAATCAAATTAAAAGAAAAAAAAAATATTCAAGTCAAGTCCAATCATGATTTTGGTCCTATTTTTTGGGGGTAATTTTATTTGCAGGTCCAGCAAAGTAACTTTCCAGATTCAATATTTTGCTCTGAAAGGGTATTTACCCCTTAAAATTCATTTTAAATATAGGTAAATACATAAACTATTATATTTGTTTTTAAATAATATTTTGATGTTTACTCAGGGTCATATGAATAGTAAATTGAAAATAACTGCCTCAGAAGACTGTACAAAATATATTAGCACCAAACACTGCAGTATATATTTGACATTTTGTTTTTTTTTTTTGTTTCTCTTTTAAATATACTAAAACTTCTATGGTTTTAAAAATTTTGACAGCAATATGACTAATTATTTTCTTTACAGAGAAAGACATGACCAAATTGTCATAAAACAAACCAGATAAAAAAGTGAAAAAAAAAAAAAAAAAAAGGTCCTGGCATAATTTTCATAGATGCAGTGAGAAAATAAATAAGGTTTATTTTTCGCTTTTGTTTTTCCTACAATCTTTATAAAAAAATTACATCTTCAGAAAGTTTTAAATACTACCCTCATCCCCAGAAAAAGTGGGGGTGAAATGCTGTAGAAAAGTTTTTGCCCAAACACACTTTTCAAAACATTTCTTCTGGAAGGGCTTCTTGCTTTGAAAGATACTTTCCAGCATACACACATATATATATATATATATATATATATATATATATATATATATATATATATATACACGTGTGTGTGTCAACACCCAGTAGCGACAGTGTTTCATGTTTAAACACAAACTTCAAGGCCAAAAGATTGTTTGATGATTGCGTTTAAGCATGAAACAGACTGCCACTCACCACTGAGTGTTGAATTCAATGTCTACTTTTATATTTATATATGCTCTATTCCTGATATGGATTCCTTCAATTCATAAATATAGCATACTATAATCTGAAGCGAGACACAATTACATAATTAGAGCAGTCACAGTAATCAGAAGGCCTTTTTTATTAGAAAGAAGAGCTTACTTGGGGGTGGCAAAACCCATCTTTTCAGAGGAGAGGTAGAGAGAGAGGTTAGTATTTATGATGCAAGTCACTGAACTGGCAGACAACTGACATTGCTTTTGGTCACTGCCATCAGAGTATATTGCAATGGGTGAAGAATGTTTTAGTCAGATGTTGTCCACTCATTTGGATAAATTTCAAACCAGACAAAATAGCAAATGGGCAAAAGTGACTAGAATTTTTAAGCTTTTTCCTGATCTTTATGGGAGAGTGAAGGGGTGGGTAGAAGGTGTTTATATCTTGTTGACCCCTCCACCCACACTCAGTTCAGACTGGAAAGCTTTTCAAAGCTTGACTTGGAAGAATTTATATTACCTTGCAGATTGTTGGGGGTGTGACCAAAAAAGTTTATAGCTGCCAATAAGATTTTTCCATCCGTAATGTCTGTAAAGAACCCAATCAAGTTGCAGTTTAGCAGCACATTTTTAAACAGGAAGGTAAAGTTAAAATCAAGTAAGAAAATGGAGATATTGGTTTCAGTAAGAAAAACAATAAAATAGATAAGAGACAACATGTGTGAAGAGAATTCATTTGTTTTTTTTTTTTTTTTTGTGAGTTATTTAAACATTTTGGATCAGTAGAATAATTCTTTTTTTGTGAATGAATATTGCATTAACAATTTGAGAATGATTTCTTTTTTTCCTGATCTACTACTTAACCCATAGCCTGGAGAGGTGGTGTGAAGAAAAGGGCATTAACCTGCTATTGAATTAAAAATAAAGATTAAGAGAAAAATTCAAGAAAAAAAATGATTTTATCATAACACACAGATGTCATGTAAGTATGAGGTCGTAGAAATCTCTTGAATCATGTTGTCCATAATCTTTAATCTAATCTGCTCAGAAAAATCCTTGCCTAACTAAGAGCTAAATACTGGGTTTTCATGGCATGAAAATGTCAAAACAATAGTATAAGTTGTTAATTTTAACAACAACAAAAGGTGAGGACAATAGCCCACATGCGAATAAATAATTAAAATAAAGAGTTTACAAAAAAAAAAAAAAAAAAAAAGGTTGCTAGAACACAGGTCATCGTCAAGTGAAGATATTTACCTGTAGGTCAAATTTTATATAATTGAATCGGAGTGTATGTGTGTGTGTGTGTGTGTGGGGGGATGGCTAGAGAACCCTCACAAGAATTCAAGCTTTGAACAGTTAACAGTCATAGTGTTTAAATGCCCAAAGCATTTATTGAGTAAGAGGCAATAGTTTCTCTCAGTGAATAGTAAAGCTTAACATCCACACTCTCATTAATGTTTTCTACCTCATCTCATTTTCAAAGTATAACCGATTATTTTTAAAACTTTCTGAAGATGCTCAATTATTTTTGATTAGAGAGGAGAAAAAACAGGAGAAAACAAAAACAGGTGATAAAGGAGAGAAAAAAAAGAGGTAGGTAGTGAATTAGTACATTTACAAAATTCATGAATATTTCTAATGCTATACAAGATCAAGCGGATATTTACTCAGTTGAACACTTAGGAGTCGGTGCATAAAGCAGAAAGAAATTCAGTTTCTAACTTTTGAAATCCTTTCTAAATCATAACGAAAAATTCTGTCGACTAAGTGATTACTAAACATATTTCTGAAACATTCTTAAAATATCTTGGAATATGAGATAAAAATTAATTTTTTAGCTTTAGATTTTATATTAAAAACAAAATTTTAAGTTCTCGATTCAACACAGGTGTGGGTGTCAGACACACACACATATATATATATATATATATATATATATATATATTACACACACATACTCCCACTTCTTGCTACAGCTATTATTTTAGTGTGTACAAGTATTTGAATAGATATCCTTGTTGTAAAAAGGAAATTAATGACTACTGGCCACATTCTTGAAAGTCATTAAAAAAAATGACTACATTTTCTTTAATAAGACTTTTAATGATCCAGGCTGATTGATGTTAATTTCATTATTTGTAATTAACAGGAATGTTTACTCAAACAATTGCACTTGCTAAAGTAACATTTGTAACAAGAAATCTTGTCGGTTAGAAAAAAAAAAAAAAAAAAAAAAAATTAAAAAAATCCATTATTTACTTTATATATAACAAACAAGTCTACTAAAAAAAATGACTAACGTAAAAGGCTTAGCTGGGAAAAAGAAAAAAATATATATTATATAATATTATTATATAAAATAAACCTTATTTTTAGTAGGCACATGTTTGAGTTGCTATCCCTGGTTTTTTTAATTCCTTAAACAGTGAAATTAATAACCACCTGTCTAGAGGTGGAAGAGTCCTACTATGGAAAAAGGGGATACATGTTTGATTCTTGTCAGGTGGTACATTTTTCTTTTGTAGGACTTCTGTTCAAGAAAATAAAAAGATGGTAGAAACTCAAACATGTGTGCCTCCCTAAAAATAATGTTTATAGTAATAAGAAATAATATCAGAATAAAAAAAAAGAAATCCATTTAAAATATATATAAGCTAACTTTAAAGCAAGAATAGATCAAGACTTTTTCTTGAAGTATGATAGCAAAATTTCGTAGGAAGCATTGATGATTCCCCAGGAAAGAAACGAACGCATGTAATTTATGTGCACTCCTCGCATGAGGCTAAGAGCTGAGTGGTTTCGTTCAGCTACCAAGATGCGATAGCTTTCAACAATACTGATAAACCTTGTTCCATACTCAGATTGCATTCGAGTTTTGATGGCATTTAAAGGAAACAGAAAAGTGCTTATAATGGCCCCCAAAAAGGCGCCACTGATAAAATCTTGGAGAGCAATCGTTACAACATTATGAGACTCTGGAAGGCGCTCTTTGACGTGGTCTCTCCCAAGAAAAAATAATGCACTGCTTGGTCCATTTCGCATTAATATAGCAGAGAGTCCGCGGTAATACTCAGCCAACCCGTATGATCTGGTCTTTCGAAAAGCTTCAAATGTATTCTGAAAACGTTTATGGTATGTTTGGTCCTGCATAAGTGTTTGGATACGTTCAAATGGCACCAGGATTGCCTCCGTGGTACCTGCAAGCATGGCTGCTGTTCCTTTGGCTACATCAGTTGGCATCTGGGGTCCATGTAGTATCAGAAGTTCGTGGTAGCGGTTGTAGATGCCAAACATTATGGCCATTGATGTGGATTTCTGCATTAGAGGAGGCAACAGGCCGCGGTAGAGGTGCTGGGGACCCTCAAGGTAGATTTGCTTGCAGGCTCTGATGCAAGAGATGCCAAGCAACTGTTGTCGAAACATTACCTTATTGAGGGGGAAAGTGAGCGTTATGTTGATAAAGGCTGCACCCCAACCACATACAAATTCTGCATGTTTCTGAGTGTTTGGCAACGGGGTGAAGTCAGGCTGATTTAGGCCAGAGGAATCCATTCCTTACAGCAACTACATTCCACTAGATCTGGGGAAATTAGAAAGATGCTAATTATTAGAGAAAATTAATAAAACAAAATAAAACATGAAATAAAGAACTTCAAAGAAATACAAGTGTTTAAATAAAAGATTATATCTTTCTCACAGAAAAGTTAATTTTAAACCATTTTAAATTACTTTGTTAGAAACAAAATAATTGTTAACTAAACAAACATCAGTTTTGTCTGGGTTATGGGTATTATGTCATGAGAAGGTGTCCACATTAGATCAAATAAAGGAAATGTTCAAAAATCAAAGTTTCAACTCTTTCCAAAAGTATGCTTCATAATACCTACCAACTATTGTGATATATACTTGTGTAGGGTTTCATATTCCATTTATGGCAGTGAAATAGAGAGCAAAACAGAAGACTAAATTTTGTCTTCTTAGCCTCAATCTTTGTCGAAGCTTTTCAGTTGAACTATATGGTTTGTTGAAAATCATTATTGCCACTAATTTTCAAAATAAATCAGAAAATTTTTCAGTTTCCTCTCATATTTGAAACATTTGCTTCTAAAATTTTTAAATAAGTTATACATGCAGGGAAAGCTTCAGAAAGGTCACATTTCAGAAAATAAGTACAAGCAAAAAAAAACCCCCAAAAAACAAAAAAAAAACAAAAAACCTCAAAATTTAAAATGAAAACAAATGTTTAAAGTAAGACATGAGAAATGCTTTCTTCACCAGTGGCAGATTGCATATTTTTATAGGTTGACACATCCCCATGAATGGCCAAGGATACTGGGATATGGGTGTTTTTATCTCTAGACTGATTGCCAACTAAGGTTATAGAATCCAGTCTGTCTTGCTATTTAACCCATAACTGGGTGAGAACAGATGAATGCATGCCTTTCCCAAGGGTGTAAATTAATGCAACAAACTTTACTGGAATTTGAACTCAACTCTCCTATTTCTCATTCCAAGCTGTTATACATCACACCACCCACACAGTAAGATAATATACCTTAATAAAAAAATAAAAATAAAATAATAAATATACAAAATGATGTTTATTTTATGAGGATCAGACAGATAAAACTTAACACCTAAGTCTCCCTACTTTTTATTTTGTGGTACCTTGCCTTGATCAGGATTTATCGAGTGTCCAACTCAGGGTTTCTCAACCTTTTTTTGTGTAATTTGACATGGAAAAAGTTTATACCTTCCACCTGTATAGTGAATATTCAAAAGCATACCAAAATTGTTTGGTAAAATTTTGCTATTGGTTCATAAAAAATACCAAAGGGAAGTAACAAATATCACTGACCCGGGTAGCTGCTGCTGCTGCTGCTGTATTAAAGAACAAATGAAAGCAGACTTGATCATTGAAAACTATTTAGAAAATACCAAAATATTCCTTGTTTTCAGAAATATTTACATCTTATTTACGAATTTGACCCAGGGGTAGCATATATTGCAATAACTTCTTAACACACAAAATCCTATATCATTCATCAAAATTTCAAATCACCCATCATTTTCTGTTCCATTGCTATTTGAAGAGTTGAAATCGCCCACTGGTGAACACTATTGTCCAGATTGGGAAACCCTGGTCTAGTGGTTTTGTAGTGGAAGGAGGTTTTTTTTTTCTTTTTTTTTTTAAGAAACAATAGATACAGTGGACAAAAAGGGATAAAATTGAGAACCAAGTATGTAGTAACAATCGGGGGTGGGATGACTGAAGTAACAAAAAACATTTACATTTTTTTCAAGTAGATCACCTCTGCGATAATCAGCTTTTTTTACATTTATAAAAACAAATTCTAATCTTTCTATGAAGGGTCCATTGATACTTTCACAACAAAAAAAAAAAAAAAAAAAACAAAAAAAAAACTATAAAAGGTTAATGCTTATAATATCTCAATGTTTATTATGAGATAATGGGGTTAGGGAGCTAGTCTGGGTGACAATTTATTTTTCTTTAATCATTTCACCCCAAGCAAAGTGATAAAGCCACTAGGATGCAGGCAGTTATAGAGAGTAAAAATGAATGAGAAGATGCTAGTGAAGAGAAATGAGGAAAAGAACAATAAAAGAAATTAGGATTTAGAAAGACAGAAGATGGCGATTGATATTGCATTTAAATTTCTGAAGATACCAGAGAAACAAGAAATTGGAAGGAAGTTCTAAAGGTGAGAAAAAAAACTGTTAAAATAAGAAATGGTTGCTTCTGGCTAATTCAACAGTAAAATGGTGAGACCTAGTTGCCAATCTAGTAGCATGCTTCAATTCATGCAGTTGAGGCACTGAGGAAAAAGTTGATTGGAACAATAACTGAAGATATTTATAGAAAAGACACATGTCAGTAAGAAAGTGACTAATGTTGAGATACCAACTGAGGATCAGTTACATTACAAATCCTTCTAAGAATTCCTATTGGTTAGTGAATTCAACCCTCACTGGGTGCCCCACATACTTAGCATTATGTCAAAACTAAGCTAAAATTAGTAAACAACAACAATGGCAAGCATGTGAAGTTGACTATTCTGTTATTTAGCAGGGATTCTGAAGATACACTTATAGAAACTCTATAAGCAATCACAAAAGATGACAAATTCATCTGTACCTTGCCATTGCAATGAAAAGTCAGGAAACTTGAGCATTTCTTTTTGCTTTTAGAAAATATATAAATACTCTACAACTCATTTCTGACAGAACTTCTAACCAATTAGCTGAGACACTAAACTGCTAGTAAAATCTCCATGCCACCAACATTTTAGAAGAAACAAATGAAAAATGTCTAACAAGGTTGCATTTAGCTACTTCAACATTAGAATGGTGGGACCTAGTTGCCAATCTAGTAGCACACTTAAATTTATGTAGTCAAAACATCATGGAAAACCTCATCAAAACAGTTGCCAAGTAAATATTTATAGAAAAGCTGTGTCATATTGGTGAGAAAGTGACTGAAGTAGAGATGTCTGGTGAGGATTGATTACATTGCAGATCCTTCTTCGAATTTTACCAAGAACCTTGAGATGTACAATAGAAGTACCAGATATAGCAGCAGTATTCAATGGATGGAAGAATGATAGATTTATAAATGTACAAGATGGATTCTGACAAGAAAAATTTTCTGGCATGACAGTGAACTAAAATTGATTTAATATAGTCACTTCCCCTCATGTCAGTGGAAAACGTGAGCCCAAGAAGGTGTAGAATGTTGCTCTCTTGATTTCAACATTAGCCATGCTGATGGAAGGCAAATAACAGAATCTTTTGAGGTACCTACATAATTGTTTGCTGATCTTGTAATTTTACAACGAGAATCAAGATGAACATTTGAATTCCAATAAGATTTTGATCAATTGTTCATCTCAATTCTCTTTGTAGTAAAATTACAAACAACTTTAAAAGATAAGCATACATGATGAAAAAAGTTTTAGTGTCAAAATCTTTTATTATAAAGAGGACAGGATTTTTTTGATTAAATTATATTTTTTAATCCTTCGAAATGTTGGTTAAAATTTTTGTTTTTCTTGCATCAACAGGTAACCATAAATTAGTATGGGAAATTTGAGTGTCTTTTTGCAGTTAAAAAACAAAAAAAAAACAAAAAAGCAACTGATTTGGAAATTCTTGTAAAAATCAGATAATTGTCTGATTTTAATTAAACTTTTAGTACTCGTTCTCAAATGAATTAAATTATTTTAGAAATGCTTTTTTTTTTTTAGAACAGGACCTCCGGTTATAGAAAATCTGCTCCGAATCATAAAATAAAAAAATTCAATATAAAACAATAGAAATTATTTTTACTTAGAAAATAATAATTGCTTTTAGTTTTATGAATAAGATATTATGGACACTCTTGTTTAAAAAAAATATATATATATTTTCAATGAATAATGAATTTTTATAAGAATTGTTTTCAGTTTTAAAAAATTTTTAAAATTGTAATAATTTAAAGTTTTAATTCTTTTAAAATTTTATTAACTTGTGCCCATTGAGGTGATATTGTGATTAAAACAATATTTACTAATCATAAATAGAAAACTTTACAATTCAGCAACCACCCAGTATTTAGAAAAAAAAAATTAATTTTTTTTTTGTGTGTATGTGTACAATTTGTTTAAACATGCCAATTTTTGTAAATACGAATGTCCATAACTACATGACATTTTCAGAAAATAAGAACAGTAATGATAATAAATTTAAAATTAATTGCTAATTTTTTAACATTTCTTCAACAAGTGTCTTCCTAAGTAAGATAAAGTACCTAAAATTCAATAAAATATTGAGTATATTACAGAGTATATTTTCCTAAATTTTAAAGATTACTGAGTAGTTAAAAAAAAATATTGTACTTGCCAAGTAAGTTTTACAGTTATGTACGCTTTGTACTTAAAAATGCCAAACCTTAAGCTATTGGTAAATCTGTTAAACACACACACAAAAAATACTTTTGTGTTAAAAACAGGTTTTCTGCGGTATTTTAAACTAGAAGTAATATTCATTTTAATTCAGATAGACGATTTTAGAGATTTCATTAAGAAAAAAAAAAAAAAAAAAAAAAAATCAAAAAATCATTCCAATCAATTTAAATTCGATTTGAAATACAGCAAACTAGGAAAAAGCAAAGTACTTTGTTTTTGTTATAGCTTTTGGATTATTGGAAATATTAAATTTTAAACTATTAACTTGGAATTTATTTAAGCTAAAATAAAATCTAAGATTTTTCATTTCTAAAGAAAATTTATAAATCTTAGGTATCGCTTTTTGTGGGAGGTACCTACGTTTTTTAATGCATTTTTATTTTTTGAAATTCAATATAGCGATATGAAAGGGATAAATTAAAGAAGTACTTAAGTGTGTGAAGAAGACAAACTTTGCCCCACCCCTAAAAAAAAAAACTTCCGTAGAAGATGTCATAATGCAACAAAACAACTGACTTTCAACAGGAAAAATGTCCTTTTCTCCCCGACTTTCACGATGAAGGACGGCATTTGTTTTTGCATCATCATTCATTAAAAAGAATGAAAGGATTCAAATTACGCGCCTAAGATTTTTGCAAAAACACTTATTGTGAATTTTATTTTTAAATCTAGTGCATAATAATGAATGTTGTATTATTCATTTATTTATATAACAACATTCATTTAGTGAAGGTGAATGACTAAACATTTCTATATAAGAGAACTGAAGAAAATCAAGTGGAGGTGTGACAAACCCGTGTGGGTTTGACTAGCGAATATAAATGTACACGTGGGTATACGGATGATGATACTACCCCACCCACTTGTACAAACATTATAGCTACTGCTTGATTTAGACTTGCTTGATGGTAAGCTTAGTTTACAGTACAAGGCTACAGTGTATCGGATGAGGAGAGAACTAAATATTGCTTTCAATACAACCTTGCTGGAGTGAAGACGTAAAATAAAAATCCCATTTTATTCCGCAGCAATCAGATATATTTAAAAAAAAAACAAAAAAACAAAACAAAAAAAAAACAACAAGTGTTGCTCTCAGACGTACGATCCAGCCTGATTTTTTTTTAACTGAAGGAAACATAATAATGCGGACTAATTTATTTATTTTTAATCAAAATTAAATTAAACCTTGGATAGTAGATGGTCCAAATTTTAAAGTGTCACAGTAAAGAATTTGAAAAAAAATTGTAGGTTTTTTTTTTTTTTTTTTTAATTTTATATATCTTTTTATTTTTCGAAAAAAGAAAAAAAAAGACAGTTGGCCCATTATGAAATTTCCCCGCCCGGTTAATAAAAGGTGCCTGATCATCGAAAGATATTAATTAAATTTTGATCGTTGATAACGGAAATTTTTTTTTTTTTTTTGAGTATTTGTATTTGATTTTTTTTAGTGATCAAACTCATGACTTCTTTTGTTAATGATAACTAACATATAGAAATTCTCAATCTTGAAAATGTGCTTTTTCTTTTCTGTAAAATATGGATTTCTGGTAATTTTGATTTTTAAGTTGATTTACTTTACTTTTTTTATATATTTTTTTAAATTAGGAAAATACGGGTTCGGCTTAATTTACAATTACTTATCTATCCTGATAAGAAACTTGAAATTTTTGTCTAAATCGACTTAAAGGTCAGAACGTACCAAAATAACAGTATATTTTCACTTTTTCAGTATAACAATTTGTACAACAATGGTGATAATTTGGGACAAATAAAGTAAAGATAATAGTTTTTTGTTTTTTTTTTTTAATGCGATCAACATTCAGATTTTAAATATGCTAATTTAATAATCATTAATCTTCGGCACTTAGTTTTTCAAAATATAAAAGGATTTATTATTGTAAGAAAAAGTTATAGGTTGGGGGGGGAGTCAGTCACCCTTCCTTCTAAGAAAATTTTAAAAAAATATTGCAATAAATTAAAAAAAGAATAAATAAATTAAATAAAAGCTGTGGAGATAAAATGTCAACAAAGACTGTATTGGACGATAAAAACTAAAAAAATCCTACGTTCGGATTTTTATCTTTTAGCATTTCTTAATTACCGAAGACAGCATATCTGAGCATTTTTAAATGTTTTTTTTTTTTTTTTTGTTGAAAAATGATATAATCGTGGCGGAAAATAGATTTATTTTATCAAGTTTTTTTTAGCAAAATTCAGTGCAAAGACAAGGAAATTTACTTATTTTTGTTTATTCTGCATTTCTTATTGTAGTTTTAAAAACTGAGAAGGATATTTGTAAAATGAGGAGAGAGACGATTGAGAAAATATTTAGAATAAAATAAACATTCATTTTTAATTTTAAACAATGTATTGTTTTACTTTTTTTGTGTGGGACTTCCACCCGCTCCATTCATTCCATATTTTGGGGACTTCAAAAAAACAAATATAAAACTTAATGTTTAAAAAGGTCAGAGGGTTTCCGAATTATTTGTAGAAGATTTAAAAAAAATATTTTCATTTTCTTTTTGAAGTTTTTTTTTTTGTTTGACGAGGGGGGGGCGGGTATTAAAAATAAAAAAAAAATCTCTCAGGACTTAAATTTAAGTGCATACTTTCGTTAATGAAAATAAATATGTAACAAACAAAAATTACAAAATAGATGAAAAATAAAGTATATACAATTTTAAGAGTAAAAAACAAAAACAAAAAACAAATTGACGGCTTTTTGGGGATTAGTAGAAAAAAAAAAAAAAAAAAAAAACTTTGTTAGCGGAAGATTAACGTCTTGTGATGTAGTTTTAAAACTTTTTATTTTAAAAAAGACTAAAAATGTCATATTTACCTTTTAGTTTTAAGATATTTCTAAATCTAATCAGACAAGTTTCAATGTGAATCTTAAACTAATTAATTAAACAATTAATTTCTTATTGAATTAAAAAAAGGGGGAATGTTTTGTTTATTTTTCAAACGAACGTCAATGTGAATGAAATGAAATCGCATTGATATTTTTAAGCAAGTTATCGCTTTATTACTTAGAAGACTTGTAGATTTATATAAGAAGAGTAAAAAGTAAGTAAAGATTAACTTCAGCAGAGTGAGACTAACCAAAAAGGTTCAACTAATTATAATAAAAATTGGTTTTTGTTTTGATATGAATTTTCAAAGTTTAGTTAGTATTGTATTTTGAAGAGAAATTAGGAGAGAAGAAAAATAATAAATAACGTAGCTAACAGTTTAGAAAAAAATCAGATAAAAGAGGAATAAGCTTACAGAAAGATTAACTTTTGATGCAACAAGGACATTTCATAGAAAGTAGTAAAAGGAAAAAAAATGATTCCAAAGTCTTTCGAGATCTAAGCATGGTTGGAAAATGGAAAGGAACGAAAAAAAAAAAAAAACTAAGGTCATGGGGTCGTACTAAAAAAAAAAAAAAAAATACGAACAAATTCAAAGCTATTCTCGAAACTCACCTGAAATCAGAGTTGCTTTTGAAAGCTACACGTCGACAGCACCTTAACATCAGGGCTCTTTTAAAGATATTTAATATTACTAAATCTCGGCCTTCCGTTCGGCTGCATTGATCTGCCATATTTGATAACAAGGGAGGTCACTCAAAACCCAATACTGTTCTGATTACTTCCCTTCGAAAAATCTCAAATATTTCAAATGTAATGGTGCTGCTAAAATTTTTAAAACTCGACTATATTCACGTGTTACTAAATTCGGCACAGTTAACTCATTTAATGTGAGATTCTCAAAGAATGCCATAGGCACATCAATCAGACCACGAGGATCAGATGATCTACGACGGGGAAGTGCCATCTGTAAAAAAAAAAAATTAAAAAAAAAGACTAATTAATTAATTATTAAGAACTTAAGAAGAGGTTTTAAGTGTGGTGACATTATTTACAAGAAACGCCGTTTGTTCAGCTATCTCGTATTTTCAGGGTTTATGGCTGTTCGTTTCCAAGCATGACTATCTGCTCAGGATCAGTTGTGATTCTTCAACACTCAACAACGCCCACAACTAATTGCGGGTCTCTCACCACACCTGTTTATACTGCAATAATGTTTTTAGCGGATCTTAAAATCGTAGCTATGGAGCACCCAATAATGATCAAACTCACTACTCGGTCGTAATGGACCTATCAAAGCTCGCTTGCTAACCAAGTCAAAGTGCCCCAGTTCAAGCTCAAGTATTATTAAAAAATATTAGTAAGTAATAAAAAATAATTAAAAATTATCATTAATAAAAATGTATATAATTTAAAAATATCTAGTTTTACACACTAACGTTTGGGAGAAGTGTATTTAAAAGAAAGCTAGATTGTTTATAAAATTTAAATTTGATGGGCTACATTTGTCTGTAAACGTTTCTAAATTTAGAATTTTCTCTAAAAGAACCGTCAGAAATAATTTAAATTAATAAATTAGGATCCGTCTAGAACCTCTTTGGATGATAAATAATAAGAATGATAATTTTAGAAGGAAACCAAATTTTCTACTAAAAGGTTCGACCGGAAGGTATAAAAAAAATTTCGACCAAAAGGAGCGAAAATTTCGAAGAAGTTAGAAGACGGGGAGTTATGAAAATTTCGCCCTGAATGCAGAAAAATAGGGTTCAAGAAGGGAGAGCTATTTTGGCTGTCACTGTGGACGAGTTCGGCTGTTTCTCACGAAAAGAAAAAAAAAGAAAGCAAAACGAAGTGAATCAAGAGAAATCTGTAAATAGAACTGTAAAAAAGAAATTGTTAAAGATCCCAGCAGTGGCATAAGTGAATTTGCCAGAGCCCTTTTGGTCCTTTTCATCTTTCGATTAGGTGGGTGGTGCACCCACCTTTTTTAAAGAATATTTTCAACCTTATTTAAAATTTAAATTTTGACAGGAACTATGCTAAAGAATAAAAACGTATAAAGTTTTCAGATAAAAGAACGTTTCATTTTTAGGTTTTAAAATAAAAATACTAAGTAGTTTCAATTTAGCTTAGTTGACAACGGCGCAATGCCAAGTGGAGAGAGTTTTTTTCTATCAAGAAAATCAGCATTCAATATCTTGAGAATAACGAGTTAAGTTAGTTTGTGGGTAAATATTTACAGGGTCCTGGAAAGTTTATCCCACAAACAACATTGGAGGACTCAAAGTAAGTCCAAGTAAAAAATAAGTAACGCAAAACAAATATAAAACAAACGACAATGCATCTATTAACAAAAGGAATTACATGTGATGAAAGGAAAAAAGTGAAACTAGCTGTAATAAAATGTGCTTGTGCGTGTGTGCATAACAATCATGTGTGATAGAGGGTACAAAAGTCACGAGTGAAAAACATAAAAATGGACGTTCCCCAGTGGGGGATACTTTATCCACGTCCAACTACATTTAAAATCCAGAACGAAAAAGCTGTAAAAGAGGCTAGGGAAAGAAATGCACGCCTTTTTATAGGATTAAGGAGCGCCCACTAGCAAAGGTTTTTTGGCTAAATCAAGTGGTATAACTCACAAGCTACTGGTAAATAGTGGAAAATCCACACTTGTCAATATGCCGCCCAGGACGTTTTTACTTTATATAGAGTAGCGACGAGAGCCTCCTTAGTGACGAAGCTAACTGCGTATTTCCTATCGAGTCGACCTATCTGGAAATTGTAAAATATTGAGAATAGGGCGGAGGAGAACTATTGTAATTAGTTTAGTAGTAACATGGAATATCTATTTTTATTTTTTTATTTTGTTAACCTGTTAGTCTTACAATACAATAAACGGGAGTTCCTTCAGATAATTTACTCAAATACTCTGTTCTCTTTTCTATCGAACCGCATAGCATGCCCGTGATAAGACGTTTTTGTTGATATATTTGATGACAAAACAGTTCAATTATTCATGTCTTTTCTAGAAAGGGGAAGTCAATGCAAACAGAAGCAACAAAACTGAAATTAATGTACCAATCGTGTTTTACGTGCTGGTAACTTAATTGTAAAAATGTTGCTTATAATTTGATTCTGTCAGTAATGCCTGTCTTACTAACACTTTTCTCGATCGTCAGTGCATTATTTCATATAGCAATATGATTAATATTTTTCTTAAAAATGTCATGTACCTCCAGAGCGTAGTTAGTCATGGCTCTTCAGATTCTTTTCTTTATCTGCGAATTGTCATAACTTCTTAGGAAAGATGGAGGGTTTTTTCGTTGTCTTTTCCCCAATTTTGAATTCAGTTGTCCTCAGCTTAGACTGGTTGCCGTCGAAGGCTAAAGAGCCCAGTTTACTCAGTTATTTAATCTATAACAGGGGGGAAGAGACGACAAAGATTCATGAACAAAGGTATGTGTGCAAAAAGTGAACGTGCGGAGTTACACAATTTACTTTCCTAAGAAAGACCGTCGCCAGAAGGCGCACTCTAAGCCTATAAATAGGCAGTGACTTTCTCACTCATTTTTCCTATTTTATTCAGGGACGGTAAGATGTACACTCTTATGCAAATTAATTGAAACAATTGCTTTAGTTTCCTTTCTTTCACCATTCGGTCAGCTTTAGACTCACTGGAGCGACAGGGTATAATTGATTTCTATTTTTTCCTCAGATTAGATCATTTGAAGTGGTGTGCAGTAATATGAATCTATTTTCGAGATGTATGAGGACTTCCAGGATCCCCCCGCCACAATTCACTAGTTTAGATGTTTTCTTCATTCGTATTCATTGTTTTGTAACACGCATCAATATTCTTTTGTCTGTGTATACACTTGTTTTGCTAATACATATAGTTTTGTCGTTACTTTTTCATTTTATTACTCGGACTCCCATACCAAGTCAGCCATTTTTGTTGTGGGATAAATATACCAGGAGAAACGTGTTTTCCGACCCAAGCACTCGACTAGCATTGCCCGCAACAGATTGATGACCAAGGCGCGATATCATTCTCCTGTATAGAAGAAACACAAAACTATATAAACAAAATCATGCATCTTTTCAAACCGAGAGCCAGTGAAGATAAAACTTCGCCCAACTTCTAACTACCTTACCTTGCGCAGCGGACACTGAAAAACTTTCAACAAAAACAACTTACATTTACAAGGTTTTTGATTAGACCCGATGAAAAATGCAAAAATCGCAAATTTCAAAAGTAAAACATCTACACAACGTAACTATCGGAACAAGATGTTTTCCAAGTCAGCAAATAGATTTTTTCTTTGCAACACTTGTGATCCCAAACATCCTTAATCGCGTATTTATTGTTTTGTAACACGCGTTATAACACGCAATATTTTTTTTGTTTATGTTAATACATCGAGTCCGCCATTTTTGTTGTGGGATAAATATATCAGGAGACATGTGTTTTCCGACCCAAACACTGGTCCAGCATCGCCTGCAATAAACGTGACAGATTAGGTCACAGTTTGAATTCAGGTCGCTGATTTCATTTTTTGAGCTAATAGGGGCCGCGCTCTCCACACATTCCCAAATTATACGAGCCCTATTTTGTTAGTTTGATTTAATTCTTGATTTAATTATTCTTCCTTTTTTCTTTCAATGTACAAAATAAAGACTGGGTTCCGAAGCCTCAAGGAGTTTTATTACCAATTTTCTTTTTACTACTCAAACCAGTCTGTTCGGAGTGGGGATTATAGTGCTAAAGTCGGTGGCGTGCAAACAGGAAAGCCGAAACGTAAAGCATTTTTAAACACAACAAATTATGCATCACTTATTTCGATTAACAGCATCAGTTAGAACGATTACTTCACTACTTATTCCATAATTTATCTAAAACAGTAAATTGATTAGTACGTTATATAAATAAGAGTTTTTCAAACCTTATGAAAGTTAATTGAAAGAATTTAAATCGAATATAAATAATTATTTATTACTAGCTATCGGCCGGCATTTAAGCTAGTTCCTGCGGAATAGTTTTTGATTGGGCCTTCATCACAATAGATAGGGAGGAGTAGATGTGATAGGCAACAATAAGCTACAGAACAAAAGAAAAATGATCGCCGAATTTAAGTATTGCATTAATATTTAATATTACCTTTTAAAGTTTCAACAATAATTCTTCTGTCGCCACTTAGACAGTTTGATGTAGGTAGGTCCTTACTTTTCGTAAAAACAATTATTTTCATTTCATGGGTGACTTCCGCTGGATTTCGCAATTAATTTCGGTTATTCCCAAATTTATTTCCAACTTATAAAAATTGTTATTGTACAAAAAGATTCGAAGCAAAAGTGATATATGTTGGGCTACGGCCTCTAGGAGTAAAGTTGAAAACAAGGACAATTTTATTTTGAAACACTGTAATTTGAGAACAGTAATTTTTTTCATTTGCACATGAACTTTTGAAAGTTAGAGATTTTAATTGTTTTCATCAACCAAAATGGCGGAATCCGAAAACAATCGCAGTAATGGAAACTTGGGAATCCAAAATTTCAGGATTGAGGGTCCGGATCTGACCTGGAATAATTTTAATTTGCCCACGAGTCGGTCTGCTTCCAAAATGGTATATGTTGGGCTACGGCTTCTAGGAGTAACGTTGAAAAAGTGTGACACACTGACACACTCACATTCGCATTTTATAAATAGATGAATATAAATTTAATTTAATTTTAAGATTTATAAGATTTATTACGCAATTTTAGTCGATTATTAAAGCAGACGTTTCTTTCCTCATCCTACCTTGCTTCTTCTTCCGTCCAACAAACGATATAAAAATATATCAAAATATTTCCTTAAAATGATGATGTAACAGAGAGAGATATACACATACATACCCACATGAATGCACACACTCAAAAATTTATTTTATTGACTGGAAGTGGAAATGGTGCTTATATATCAAAGTACAATTTGGGTTCAGATGTGTGTTTACCGATGAGAAACACGATCTCAGGAAAAGAGGCGATGTTTTAAATGTGGGTCACTAGTAAACAATGGGGATGGGCGAGATACTTGGTTTTGTTTAACAGTATTTGTTTTGATCAAAAGGTTGAATCAATGTTTAGATATCCCGAAGTATAATTTTGGTGAAGCGAGAAGAACTCGTGATTGAGATAAGGTAAATAATTGGAGAATAGGTTTGCATGCCAAGGGATAGTTTTTGGCACTCATGATAATCGCGTGCCGGACCAAGGGTCGATTCATGATAAACCAGATTTATCTATATAAATGCATAGTTATGCTGAAGAAGAAGCAGACAGTCGAGCGAGACGGAAGAGAGAGACGGGAGAGACCGTGATCGGTCGGCACATCGTCGTCACGTCCGTGAGCACCCGCAGGCGACCGTTACGGGTCGCGGTGCTACATGCCAGACGGAAGAGAGAAGACTAAGCCCTGTTCTGAGAAGTCTGTATAAGACTGGACTATTAGTCATAAACCTACCCCAGGCGATTCAATACGCGTTTATCACGCACAAATCCTAACTCTGTTGGGAATTCGCTGGATGCTTTTTGTCTTTTTCTTTTCTCATTTATGTTAAATGTGTTTATTCTCCCTGTAACCTCTGTTCTGATGTTATCTTCTTATATAAAAGACGTCAATATTTCCCTCATTGTTCTCTGGCTAGTGCAGATATTATTTCTTGTTTGATTTTGCCACATTCTAAAACTTCCTAGCGCCAACTCTCACAGCCGTGTCCACATCCCCAGTCGACCGTGAACGTATGGACAACACCCCGCTTACTGGATCTAAAAACTAACACAGCGTGGGCAGCGAGCAGGACTTGACCAGTTGACCGGTCGAAATAATCTACGGGTACTCAGGGAGCGTACGGCCAGTTACCCCTAAGTTCGGTTCGGACCGAGTGGACACCTCAACCCAAAGAGGAAGACGCCGGAGGTTGAGGGGCTGGGGACGAAGTGGTAGATGAAATGGTTTTTCTGGCCCTCGTGCACGTTTCTTCTTTATTGGTAAATGTTCATCTAAAGAGGATGAAAATGACATTCATATGCAAATTATACTAATTTGCATCTCACTACATCTCCCTATAACGGAGGGGCCTTATGCCGCGAGTACTTCTTGTACTTCTTCTTGTGCCCTCCTGAACATCTTCCTTTATCTCTCTCCTTTCCCTTGGAGATCTAGATCTATCACGTCTTTCCCTATAATCGAACTGTTCCTCTTGCATACTCTGGTCTTTCTCTTCTAACTTGTCCCATTCTACTTCTTCCTCTTCTAACTCATCCCTCTCTACTTCTTCCTCCGCAGTTTCATTCTGCATTAACTCTTCTGTTACGTCAATAATGGGCATCTCTGAAGGCATTTCCTCATCCGATTCTTCTCCTTGGGATCTTATTTGGTCAGCATGAGCTAGAACACTGTTCCCATTTTCTTTATTTAATATTGCAGTGTAATGTCCTTTCTGCATAATAAATTCGGCTGACTCTGGTTGCATATTCCTATTTCTTTTGTACCACATCTTTTGATTTGTGGCATATGACATAGTCAAAGGGGACCTTAATTGTCTGCCCATTAAGGCAGATGGACTTTCCGGCCTGCCTGCATGTGGAATTGTTTTGTAACTTAATAGTAGTCTTGGTAGAAAAGCATCGATTTCCTCCTTCTGTTGCAAGCATGCTTTTATGCCCTTCTTTACCGTCTGGACCATCCTTTCCGCTGTCCCATTACTTTGAGGGTGGTAGGGGGGGTCTTGTAAGGTCTGCATCCTATTTTTCTTAGCCATTCATGCAAATCAGCATCCACAAATTCTGGTGCGTTATCAGTCACCAATGTTCTCGGTGTCCCATTCCTCGAAAATATTACTCTTAATATTTGTTTTACGGTGGTACTTTTTTTTATCAGGTACTCTCACCACTTCAGGCCAACCTGAATATGCGTCTACTAATATTAATAATAGTCCTATCCCATTGACATAGGCATGGTCCATGTGTACTCTGCTCCATGGTTCTACTTCTCGGGGCCATACATGTATTTTCTTTTTGCTTAAAATTCCTGAGTTCTGTGCATTTTTTGCATCTTTTTACGTAGTCTTCTACGTCTCTTGAGTACCCCGGCCACCACGCTTCCAATTTTAATCTTCTTTGCGTAGCTGCCACTCCACAATGTACGTCATCGTGTACACTTTTTATAACCTGTCTCCTCTGTGTTTCTGGGGGAACTACCAAGTCTCCATTACATATTATCCCGTTTTCTATAGTCATTCTATGTCTAATTTCTTTGAATGGTCTTTCAGCCATTGAACAATTTCCCCAGCGATTCTGTTTTATCCTCGACATTATTCTATTTAACACTGGGTCATTTGTAGTTTCAGTAGCCATTTTATCTACAGATATTACATCGGTTTCTACAAGGTGCAAGAATGTGTCTTCAAATTCCTCGTCGTTTTTGTCCTTCTCCTCTCTATAAAACCTCAATCTAGATAAGGCATCAACGTGCGGTATCGTATTCCCTTTAACATATTCAATGTCAAAGTCGAACGCCATCAGTCTAATCGCCCAACGTAATATTCTGGACGTTGTAACTTTCGGTAGCTCTTTTCTTGGGTTGAAAATAAATTCCAGTGGTCTGTGATCACTTTTCAACAAGAATTTTTTTCCCATCAAAAACTGTCTTGCTCTATCCGTTGTCCACACTATGGCTAGTGCCTCCCTTTCTATATTCGAATAATTGTGTTCAGTTGTTGTTAATCTCCTCGATAAGTACATTATGGGATGCCCATCTTGTGACAAAATACCAGATATGGACTGCTCACTAGCGTCAGTAGTTAGAGTTATGTCCTTCTTAGGGTCAAAAATTTGTACTATTTTTTTTTTGCCAGAATCTGTTTTAAGTTTTCAAAGGCTTTCTGTTGGTGTTCTAACCAAATGAATTCCACATTTTTTTTTTCTTAACTTAGCAAATGGTTCTGTCAACTCATTATATTTTGGTACATATTTTCTATAAAATTTACCAAACCTAAGAAGGACTCCAACTCTTTTTTTTTTTTTTCGGTGTAGCAACTTTTAGAATTTTCTCTATTAGTACTTTATCTGGAGAGATCCCTTCCTTTGATATTGAGTAACCCAAAAATGATATTTCATTACTGTTGGTTTACACTTTTTTTTTGTATTTATTGTCATACCAGCGTCTCTTAGCCGGTTCAGTATATTTTCAGTTTTTTCTTTAAATCATCTTCATTTAAATCTCCAACACATATATCGTCTTGATAACAGATGGTATTTTCAACATTTCCTATTACTTTTTCAATAGCTTTTTGAAAAATTGCACTTGCCGTTTTTATGCCATACGGCATTCTTTTCCACCTTAACAGGCCTATAGGTGTGTTTATGGTCGTCACTTCTTTAAAATTTTCATTTATCGGTATTTGGTGGTAAGCTGATTTTAGGTCTATCTTCGAAAATACTTTCATTCCAGCAAGTTTATGTAAAGCTACTTCCACATTCGGAATAGGGTACGAGTCAGCACAAACTTTATGGTTCACCCCTATTTTATAATCTCCACAAATTCTCAGGTCACCATCTTTTTTTTTTTTTTCAATACCACAATGGGTGATGCCCATTTACTTCCTCCTGGAGGGGCAGGTTCTAATAAGTCTTCCTTTATTAGCTTTCGCAATTTAGCTATTACCAACGGTAATAAATGCACTGGTATTTTTCTCGCTTCGTAGTAGGAGGGGGAAACATTTTCTTTTAATTTCAGGCTAGCTTCATAATTTTTTAATTTTCCTGTTTTTTCTATTTCTATCTCATTAATCAACTTCGTTGAATTTATTTTTAACACGTCATTCCCCAGTAGTCCATGCATTTTTCGGCAATTTGTAACTATAATGGGTACTATTTCATATTTTTTTTTTAGTTCTATTGAACCTTCAAAGTAACCCATAATTGCTATAATCGAGCCATCAAACTGACGTAGTTGTACGTTGTTTTTTTTTTTAAAACGGTTTTCCCATTTTTTCCCACAAATTTCTGGGTACTATCGTGACGTCACTACCTGTGTCGATTTGCATTTCGACAATACAGTCGTTGATTTTCACTTTTATTTTTGTATCTCCGTTCTTAGATCCAGTATTTTGTATATTATCCTTTTTTACATTAAAAATCTGTCTATTTTCATCCTCTACTCTTTCCACATTTTTCGTTTTACATACTTCTTTGAAGTGATTTTTTTTAAACACTTTGAACACGTCTTTCCAAAGGCTGGGCATTTTTCTTTTTTCATTTCATGAATTTTTCCACAGTACGTACAATTTTTTTCTTTTTGTTTGTACCGTATATGTTTCAGCCATTATTTTCTTCGTAGGATTTATTTTTATTTTGGTTGTAGGTATGTATTAATTTCTGCTGTTGTATAAATTCTATACACATATTCAAAGGCATGTTTGTAAGTTGTAACTGTTCCATTAACTTATATCTATGTGCTGAATTATGCATACCTTCAATTAATCTTAGTTGGATTAATTCTTCTTCCGTTGTCTGCTCTCCTGTTCCTAGTTTTTCGAATTCACAGTATTTACTCGCACTTCTTAACCGGTGTAAATATTTTACTATCGGTTCATCCACTTCCTGCTTCATTGCCATAAACTTGGTCCTTTCTGCAATCACCAGTCTTTTCTTTGGCCTCATGTTTCCCTTAATAACCTGACTTATTTCTTCGAAGTCATTTCTTCTAGTTCTCGGGGGTAAACCATTGTAGCAACCTTCATAATCGCTTCACAACCAGCTGTAGCCATGAACAAGTCGGTGATTTCATTTTCCCCTCCTCTGTTTTTGTTGTCTTTCAACTTTTTACATCTTGCATTAGCAGCAAAGCAACGAATCCACGTATCTACGTATTCTGGGTCTTCAAGGACCAAAGAGTATCCTATCGGCGACGCCATTGTTGTGTCGTGTATATTGCTAAGTAAGCATTAATATTTATTGTACTATGTACAAATGTGGCACAAGGCCGAAATAGGGGAAAGGGGAAAGAATGGTCATCTTCTGTCTTAACTTTAAACTTAGCTAGCCGCAATCACTGACCCAAACATACAAACAATGTTCCTTTCACCAAAACAACACATCCATTACATACCATTCTTACTACTTCCACCAAAATGCCTCAGAGACTCTATGAAGTTCTAACTAGTCCCCATATATACAAATCATTGTCTGTGCGGGGGGATATAAAATAACATCTAAAAAAAACCCAATGAATATTTACAATGAATACAAATCTATTTACAAAAAACTAAACAAAAATTTTGTTAGTAGTAACCCCCCCCCCCACAGCCCTAAATGTGGCAGTAACATCA